AGAAATACATTTTTCCAAAAAAAATAAAAATTGAAGGTGGGAAAGGAATATAATAATACATTTACTCCCTAATTTATTTCAATAAATTTTGCTTTTAGTACTTGTGATGTATAACTTAACATATCTAATTTTCAATTAGTAGAAGATGCATGTTTTCAGGCCCGAAAATTATTTATATGACGACAAATATAAAATAATAACATAAATTTTATATATCTCGTCAACAATTAAGTGATGAAAGGGTTAATATTTATGGTAAATTGTGAATATTCATAAGCAAACATATAAAAAATGCACAATTTAATTAATTGAAAATTAAATATTATAGAAACTAAAATCAGAATTTACCAATAATGGAAGGATTTAACTATAAAGAAAATGCAAAAGAGTAAAAACATATATAAACAACATTTCACGCAACGTTATTTAAATATTCCCAAATAGCTACCTCTACTATGAAGTAACCACTTTATTTGTCCCCCCAAAAAAACATATTCCTTTACTACTAAGCAATTAACTTCCATTCGTGAAAACGCTTGTTGACATACTACGATCAATGTTATTCATTCCTTTTATAGTTAATTCAGAACTCACAAACGTCTAAATTCTTAATACAGTCTATCATAGATCAATTTCAATGTGTGAGAGAGCTAGTGGTAGCGGTGTACAAAAACCGTCATCTCTCCCCACGACGTTGAGTCATCGGAGGAATAGGACCGTGCGACGACGAACATTATTAAAGCAACATAGGGCAAGAAAAAGTATTGAAGGATGGAAATCTGAGCCTTGTCTTTGGAGAGATATTAATGGAGTTGGAGGTGAAAATGAAGATGATCGTCGTTGGGATGCGATGACGACGTCGTTGGAGGTGCTTTTCCGGCCACAAACTTGTTCGGATTTATTTTTCTCATCGGATTATCTTAATGTTCCTTCTCCAATGAGTACTCAGGTAGGTAAAATCTTTTTTTTGTTTCTTCATTTGCTAATCATTATACTATGTCATTATGGCTGATTAAGTCATAAATTAAGTTAATTGAAAATGTGTATTAATTATTTTGCCTTAGGCCATCAGAATGTGGTGAAATGGATAGGATTTTTTCACATCTAACCAAAAAAGTCTTGATTTTGAGTCATTAGAATGGAAAAAGTGTAGTAGCAAGCGATTTCTCTTTTAATACGTTCACCGCATGCAATATGACTTTGGATTAGTCAGGCTAGTCTGTTTTAGATATCGAATGGTCATGTATTTATTATATATTGAGTTGGTGTAAATATTGAGTGCCGGTAAAATTTTGTCCATGTAAATTAAGTAGGTAAAAAATAGTCGGATGTGTGGTTGACACGGTTAATTACACCTTGTATAAGTGAATCAAATATGTGAAATAAACAAGTAATGCTCAATTTCATATATTTCTACTTTCAGATTCTTTGAGTTCATGATCAAGTGAATCATCAATTGTCAGTTTACTAACTAGTCTTGGATCAAAATGAAATAATTATAAAGTAATTGATTTATTTCTATAATTGTGGTGTTCGAATCAGTTTATGTGCACTTTGATTAATTTTATTAGGTATCTCTGCTATATTCCACACGACACAAGTATCGGGATAACTTTATCCACATCAGTGCTTGGATAGAATATTTTGTCTAAACTATAATTTAAACCTGAAACCTTATGATTCTCAGCAAACTTTATTAAGTAATAGAGCACACTATTGAGTGAAATTGTTGTTCATTTTAACATTTGTACACAATTTTATCTTATATTTCTGTAAGAAGTTATTTTTACGACTTTATATATATTGTGTAAGTGATTTCTAAATTCCATAACTTGTTGTAGGAGTACAAGAAGGATGCAAAAGTTGTGGTTAATGTGACAGTTGAGGGCACTCCTGGACCAATTAAAACCATGGTCAAGTTGGGATCAAATGTTGAAGAGACCATAAGACTAGTCCTAAATAAATATAAAGAAGAAGGTCGAAGTCCTCATCTTGATGATTCTTCATCATTCAAGTTGTACACTTCTCACTTTAGTCTTGAGAGTAAGTTCTCAATTAACAAATATTTCAAATTTTTTGAGTTTAAATTATATATATCGTCATTTTTTTTCTTCCACCAAAGGTATAACTCATTGATAGACATGTTAATTTAGCCTCAAGCGGTAAATAAATATATATCCCAATTTTGAAAATTCATATTTACATATTTTAACTTGATGTAAGTTGGCTCGTAAATACACTCATTCTATATAACATTTTGTGTGAGTTATATCACATCTTACATGGCATTTCACACGTGTTTACATGGCCAAACTTAAACCAAGTTAAGATGTTCAGATGTGCATTCTTAAAGTTGATTGTGTATACATATTATGCCTTGGAAGCTATGGACCAGGTTTTGTTAAACTCGTAGCCAAAAGGCTACATCCTCCCCTAATGGAACTGGTGAATTAAGTATTTAGTAAATAAAGATGTTTCCGTATGACGTATATATCTATCACAAATTCGACCTATAAAAGAATGCAATTAAAATATGATGTCTATATCACACCATTTGGAGTGTACATCCTTTTTTTTAACCTTGATTGAATGTGGAATAATTTCTTTTATGTTTTATTAATTATAGGCTTGAATAATTCAGATGTGATTGGAGATGTGGGAAGTAGAAGCTTTCACATTCGCAAGAGTAATAGTAACAATGGAAATAATTCGATGGAATTAAATTCCAATCCATTTCTTGCTCTGAAGATCAACAAATTCATAAAAGGAACAAGCAATATTTGGAAATTCCTTAGTTGCATACATTGTTTTGAATAATCGCCGCAGGTGAGACGCGAATTTAAAATTTAAAATTTAAAATTCTTGATGTTTATTATTATATCAAATAGAGGTGGAATCAATATATAAATTCTAAGCCCATTCATTATGTTGTATGTATCCAACCATAATAAATAATAAATCAATGTATATTTCATTAACTGTATAATTATGACAAGGAGTAATTAATGAGATAATTTCATAGCTTGTTTGGATGCTTGCTACCTGTTGTTAGAGCCGTCAAAATGGGCTTGGCCCGCGAGGCCGGCCCAACCCAACCCTTGAATTAAGTGGGGTTGGGCTTAATTTTTTTTGCCCATTTAGGAACGAGGCTTTTTAGCCCAGCCTCGTTTGGCCCGTAGCCTCGTAGGGCCAACCCGCAAGCCTCAGAGGCCAGCCCGTGGGCTATTAATTTTTAAAAATGTTTTTTATATATATTTTTAGTAGTGTTTTATTTGTAAAGATTTTATCAATAAATATTTTAAAATATCAATATAAAATCAAGACTATATTTTTTACATATCTTTTACATTTTAGGGTCATTAGCCCACTAAATTTTCTTATTAGCCCAAGTTCATTGCTCCATTATAACTATGAATCTTTGACGTCCTTTACTTTTGTTTTTATGCCTTAATTTTTTCACTTCTCTTTTATTGTCTTGTTTATGAAAATAATGATAATGTAATGTTTTTTTGCTCAGATGAATCTTATGAATGTTGTATCTTGGCTATTATGTATTTGTTTTGTAAATATTCACTGAAGTATGTGTAATTCATGAATGAATTTATGTATGTATTGATGTCGTGTCCATCGGACATCGACATTCGTATCCTTTCTAAGAGGAGAAGTTGTCCGTTTTTTTATTGAAGGGCCAACCTGTCCCAACCCGTGGCCTACTTAGGGCTGGGTTGGGCTGCTATTTTATCGGCCCTTTAATTAAAAGGGCCAGCCCGTCCCAACCCATTTAACTCTCTAGCCCGTTAGGGTTGGGTTGGGTTGGGTTGGGCCAGCCCATTTTGACAGCTCTACCTGTTGTATTGGATCGTGTTGCTAAAAAAATATAATAAAAATTTATTGTTAGTTGAATTTTATTGTGCAATATCATTATATAAATGAAAAGTCCAAATGTAACGAAGACTTGTTATCATCTCATTATCATTTATCTTAAACAATAATAACAACATAGTAATATATTCTCACAAGTGAGATATGAAAATGGCAAAAACAGACTTCATCTCTACCAAATGAAGATAAAAATGTTATTTTTGAAAAATCCTAGACTCCCTAACGCATAATTAAGAAGTTTGAAATGGTTGAAAATACAATAATAAATACAATATGATAAATAATAAAGAAAGTGTAACATAACATTTAGAGTGAATTAAGGGAAGTGCTAAATGGCCAGAAAATTTGGTCAGAATTTGGCCAGAAAATTAAAAAAAACTATAATATTTTTTTATTTTAAAATAAATTGATCTTTTTTCCATTTTTTTAGTTAAAAGGTATTAAAGTTAAAAGGGTAAAAATATTTAAAAAGGTAAAATAACATATATAAAATATCATTCTGGCCAAATTTTCTGGCTAAAAGATTTTTCCTAAAGTAAAATAATATAAAAATTGAAGCACGTGAAACATTCAAATATTAATTATAATAAAAAAAGAAATAAAAACTACGAGAATAATGCAAATACTATCGATATGCAGGAGAAATTGATATAATAAATTTACCCCACAATTTACTTTTTTTTGGAGAATTATGTAACGAAAGAAAATAATAAAAATGACTTCATTAAAACAATACAATATAATATAATACAACACAATATAATATAACACGTTATGAAACGATTGGTAACAACTAACAATTATTCAAATAATAAGTTTTACTTTCAACAAAAGTGTAATTATGCTATTTTTACTAACGCAAATTATAAGAACAACATATCTGATGCATTTCTTTAAATGACATCGAAAAGGATATTGTATATATCATCTTTCCCCTATTTTATAAATAAAGATAGAAATATTATTTTCGATAGACTCTTTATCCAAGTAAACTAGCTCGAATTTCTCCTATTTGATCTAATTAAGTCGAAGAAATATATTTTTTTATTATTATAAAATGATTAATAAATTAATTTTTAAAAATGGTATGGTATAATATTTATTTTTATTTTATTTTTTGACATTCCTACCCGTACCCAGATCAACAAACACCTTTACTCCCGGAACTATTGACTCTGGCACCGGTCCAGAATTTCACCTCCGATAAACAAACCGGTGGCGCAATACGCAGCCGGCGTACCGATCAGCGATCAAGGATCTTCAATCTTATCGTGCGCCAGTAGGCTACAATGGGAGATATGCTGATATGGCTACTCTTATTCTTCATAGTCGTAGCTATACTTGTTATGGTTATTTTCCAGGTCAATTTCTTTTAAAACCCCCAAATTCAACATTTTTTCTCCATTATAATACTTTTTTTGGCTGCTTTGGAGCAATTATTTTTCCTTCTAGCAATGATTATTGGAGATTTATGATTAGTGGTCTATGAAGTCGGTTGAGAACCATAAGGTGTCAGATTTAAATTTCAGTAGAGACAAACTAAAATACTAGGTGATCTCTTCCTATTTGTTCTAGTTTTGGGTATAAAGTTACTTGATATCTGTGTTGGTGGAAGGTGGTACCTTTTTTTTTCTTAATTATACTCCCTCCACCCCAATTTATGTTATGGTGTTTGATTGAGTGCGAAGTTTAAGAATGCAATGTATACTTTGAACTTGTGATCTAATATGAGCTATAGGTATCTATGTGGAATGGAAAATTTGAAGTCAAATTGTTACTAAATATAGAAAAATGTCATTTTTTTTATTGAAATATTTCTTTTCCTTCTAGCAATGATTATTGGCGATTTATGGTTAGCTTACTTCTATGAATTACTAAAGATGTCACCTAGTAAGTGAGGGTGGGGTGGTAGGGATGGGGGTTATGGGGGTGGGGTGAAGATTAGGTGTGTTGGATGGTGGACATGACACAATCAATGTGGAAAGTCAGTTGTATAACTTGGTTTCCCAGAGAAATTATTTTGACCAACCGAACATGGGAAAATTGGAAAACATTTTCTGGATTGAGGTCTAGTCAATTGGTTAACTAATTTGAGCTCCTGAAGGTTATAAGTCTTATGATTCAGTAGTGTGAAGGTTTTGTGAGTATCTTGTTGCAATGCTCCACAGAACTAGGTCTTGGAATTACAGTTATTCTTAAGTTGTCTGCTATGGTATGTACAAGAGTTAGATGTTCTTCAACTATTCGTGGCACGGTACCGTATGGTTGTGCCTAAGTTTTTGTTGGGGATAATATGCAGAAATTTCTGTGACGTATTTGGGAGCTTCTTCAATAGAATGTAAGAATATTCTGGTGTCTAGTTTCAAGGAAAAGATATCTGCATGTTTGTAATTGACTTTTCTCGTAATCTTCAGATGCTCTGAATGATGGTTTTGTTTGGAAGTCTATTCGACTATAACTTAACTAGAACTACTGCGGAGTCTAGGTTTTTCTGTTTGTTATCATCAATGAAGACGTTTTTCTGTTTATGAAATGAAGTCTGACATTTTGAAATTCATTGCAGCTCATCTCCTTAACTGATCTAGAGTTTGACTATATCAATCCTTACGAAACTGCATCTCGTATAAACAAAGTTGTTTTACCTGAGTTCATCACACAAGGAGTTCTGTGCTTCCTCTACCTGGTTACAGGGCATTGGGCTATGTCGCTTTACTGCATTCCATATCTATACTACAATGTCAATTTGTAAGTTCTCTTTTCATCTAGTGCAATAATGAAGTTTCGTTTTGGTCACTTTTAGGTCTGCTTGTCTATGAAAGAAAATTAATGCATATATGTAAAAAAAAAATACTGAGACGGCATGAATCATTATAAGTAAATTATCATGTTGATCTTAACATTTCTTTTAGGCTTCAAATATGTTAGAGACGATTTAGGTCATGATCCTCCATTGATGCACATTCTGTGTTACTGTATGCAGTATTACTCACTCCGTTTCATTTTATGTGTCACTATTTCCTTATCAGTTGGTTCTAAAAAGAAACATCCTATATTTGGAACATTTCAACTTTGAACTTCCCATTTTACCCTTAGTAACATGTTTTTATAGGTATCGAAGTCTCATGGCATGTTTAGATACCGCAAGTTCCAAAAGTGCTTGCTTCTTTCATAACACCATGCTAGTCAAACTACACCACATAAATTGAGAGACGATTTAGATCATAAAGTGCTTTTTATCATTATTTTGCATCGAATGAAATGTAAACTAAACACGCTATGTTTCCTTTACTGATTGTTGATGGTTTTCGTGTATCCTCATTTGTCAATTATTCCTTGGGTTGGAGGTCAGATCAAGATGTTTCTTTGCCAGTTTTGCTTACACAAAAACTTTTGTAGGCGTTGAGTTAGTACTAAATTTTGCGTTCAATAGACTTTTCTGTCTCTTTTTCCACTTGCAATCTACTTGTCTCGTGCTGTCTCTAGATGGGTATGTTACTGTAGTTCCTTGAGATAAAGATGTTTAGTCCGTGCATTGATTTTAGCAAACCTGGATCATAATATATTGAGCTTGTCCAATCCCAAGTTCAATCAAGATTGTGTGCACTGGGGCAGGCTCAACTGTAGCATATCTACTGCAGTTCTAGGAGGTTCAATTACTCAACCTATGTACTGCATTAAAACTTTTGCTAATGCTGGGATGACTCTTGAACTCCGATAGTCTTATTTTCTCTTGATACACTACTAAAAACCAGGTCTTAACTCCTTACTCTTTGATTGACATGTTGAAGCCTTATCTCCGTTAATGATGCTCAAGAGGAGATCACTGAGTTGAGAAAACTTGGGCTCTACAGAAATAAATTAAAGTTACATTGGATTTTATTACCTTTGACAGAGTTTATATGGAACAAATGCTTACAGTTTTCTTGCTGATAGACTGCTTGAGCTAGGGTAGTTGAATATAAGTGTTGGAAATTGTTTAATATATATGCAATCAATTCATGTATAAAAACCAAAGATGTGTATCTGTCAAGTTTAAGACCAAACTGTTGATCCATTAGAGAAATAAATTCAGACTAGATTTGAGTTGAAGAAAACTCTACTTTGCCTTGAACTGAGCAAAAATGAATTGATGTACGGTCTTAGTATATTCAATGTACTTGAATACTGGACCCTGAAGACGGTGTGATTTTGAATATGGGAAGAGAGGAAGCAGCAACAACATATAGTGGGGTCTGAGAAGAGTAGTGTGTACACAGCTTTACCCCTACCTTGAGAAGGTAGAGAAGTTGTTTCAGATAAACCCTCAAGTAAAGCACATCAAAAATCAAGTATGTAAAAAATATACTAGTGAAAAATCCATACTGAAAAGAACAGTAAAAAAACAACAAATAATGGGAAGAGAGGAAGGAAATTTACATTATTAAGATTGAGAGACAAGTCAAAAACAAAGGTCTTACAACACCTTCAAATTGTTGGACCCCCACTCCCAACAAGAACATAATGCTTTTCCTTTTCTAATTGCTAACTAGTTGAAATTTTCTCCATTTATTGATGGTTTACGGCAAATGGAAGTTTTTGAACCACCAAGTGGCTATATACTATGGCTCACCACCAAGGCTTATAATCTAGTGGTATTGATGGGAGTCTTCCACACAATAAGTAGCGGTTTGATTTTATCTCCTCTCTCTCTTCCCCTTCCTGAATCCCCCTTCGTAATGGGAGAAAAAAACATTTAAAAAAGAACTAATACTATGCTGCAGTAGGGCAAAGAAAGGTGAAAATGATGAAAGTATTGGCAGTATTCTATGTGCTAATAAACCCAATAGTTTGTAGTGTTGCTTTAAAACTCTTGATCTATGAAGTCAACTTGGCATCCATCCTTAAAATAAAAGGAAATCTATGCAGAGTTCTTCCATTTGCAACTATGATAGTGGCCTTCTATAGACATATTTTTTCTGAGAAAGGGCCTTGTATAGAAATATTGACATTAGGCGGGTTCTTCACTGGCTTGAACCTGTACTTGGTACAAAAGTAATCAGCATAAAGCTTGTATTTTTTTCATTATGCTATGATAAATGTACTAAAAAAAAAAAAAAGATTACATCATGCTGATTTTCTTTGGGGAAGGAATTCTTCCTTTGAATATTTCGATAATGGCATTTAAGATTTTTTATTACTTGTGTTCGTATATTAGTTGCCAGAATTGTTACGGCTTGTGCTTGCTGACTGACCTATGTTGCTTGGACTTTCTAAATATGCTGACTTTGGAGGATCACAATGGGTGTACGTAGACCTTACCTCTACCTTGTGTGAGGATCCACAAACACCCATTGATATTTTTATGAGTGCGAGCAACATAGCAACTGACTCTATCGGATACAGTTGATCATTTCATAAATGTCATCTGAACTCTTCTTGCTTTTTTAGGTACATGCAAAGACGGCACCTTATAGATGTTACTGAGATTTTTAATATGCTCAGTTGGGAAAAGAAACAGAGGATTTTCAAACTTGCCCACATCATAATTCTTCTCGTCATCTCATTATTTTGGTAAGTTACTGTGTGTAAGCTCTTTGATTGTTAAAGCCTATGTCGCTTAGACTCTTTAAAAATCTTGACTAGTGCATGTCGGGATCCTCCAAGATTAGTGCATTTTTGGAGGATTCGATATGGCAAGACATTATTTTTTTAGAGTCCGAGCAACATAGGTTAAAGCACTTCAAGCAAGACACTACTGGCTAACTCAATATTTTTTTCCTTTCTGTAGGGTGATTTATTCTGCCTTGGAGGATGACGAGCTCAATTTATAGCTCTAAATCCCCTCTTTCGACGAAGTATTTATCACCATCAACTGTGGCAAATCTACTTCAATTTTTTTTGTACAAGTTGGCTTGTCCTCCTAGTTCATTTTTCTTGCAAGTTTTAGGGTTAACTAATGATAGATTTGGCAGCAGATTCCTCATCTTGTTTTTATCATTTGAAGCTTAACTTTAACCCCGTCGTGTATACAACTTTTGGGTAACAATAGTTATTTTTTCAGAATCCATAGGTTGTATTAAAGTTTTGATCAGTTAATAACATGGTAATTGCCCCTGTCAGTACCGAAAGTGATAATAAAAGTGGAAATGTTGTCAATGTACAAATTTTCACCTTGTGGGGTGCAAGTAACTCCATTGATTTTATCTTGTGGTCTTTAGTGCGCGGAGTAGTAATACAGGAATTATAATGTAAGAATTGTTATTGTAGTGAATAGTAACTCGAAAATTATATGCAATGAATAAATAAATATTATAGAGATTGTTATGTGAGGATTGCTACGTATGTCTTGAGCTACTTTAATCTATTTATTACAAATTATCATCTTTATTTCATATTCCATTTTTTTCATAAATTAAAATCTTCGGGATTTTCCACTTGCACAATGTTAATATAGGACAAAAGCAACAACATCCCGAATATAATTCGGCCAATGGAGTCTGGGAAGGGTGATATGTATGCAAACTTTACCCCTACCTTATAGAGATAGAAAGACTGTTTTCGATAGATCCTCTGCTCCAAGACAAAATCAACACCACAATAGAAGATGCACTATTTTCTTTCAAAGATGCACAAGAAGAGGCTTGTGTGAACTAAGAGAAACCAAAAGATTTTGAAGATCATTTTCAAACAAACAGTATAGACAAAGATCATTTAATAAACTTAACAGTATATAATCATCGACGATTGATCAACAAAACAATCGACTCCAAATTGCTTCACAAATAAACTGCATGAAAATCTAACTCTTACAAATGAGCACATATACTAGAGCTATGTCATGGTTCCTCTTCATTTGCTCTTTCGGCTGCTTCTATCTCCGAATCAAGTTTGTTTATTAGCTGCTCACTTGCATGTTTCGCAACAGATATCATGTCAAGTATGACGCTAGGGTCCAACCCTGCACCTCCTCGTTTAGTCAATCCACATATTAGTCCACGTCTATTAACAGAAATAGAAACAGCCGAGCTCATTAGGGATTCCTCCTCTGAAGTTGCATCGACAATGTAGTGCCTTCCAACCTGCAATTATTGAAGGGAAAACGTCCATGGTGCATGTAAGTAACAGTCGCGTAAAATGGATTCTGATTATAGGGTTGGGTTACCTTTGTCAAAGTAACTATGACAGGTACTCCACTGGTGTCGAATTGCAAAAATTCTTCATCACTAACATCCACATCTGCGTGTTCGTCTGATGAAGCAGCTTCACGAAACTGAACTCTTGGAATGCCTGTATTGCTCAGAGCTGCCTGGAAGAACATCAGTCGTTGCTGCTTAGAATGTTTCAATTAAATATGATTTCTTTTTATTGTACCATCTTAGATAGCAAACTGATTAGTCAGAAGATGGGGAATAATGCTTTCGTGTTGCATTCTTGAGTATCAATGCATCTCTAAAACAGTCCAAGCAAGTTTCACCCTTCATTTTCCTTGCTAGTACATGATGAGGAAACATTGTTAGAATGTACCTTGATTGCAGCACCTAGAGCATCCAGCAGATTTCCATCCGAGCTAATGACAAGGCAATCGACATACAGATCCCAGCATACTTTTCCTTCTTTGATAAGGAGAGACGCCGGATCAATTCCAGCCCCTGCAAAATGAAACACACCACAAGATTATCAACTCGAGAGATGCATAAGTGCAACAATTACACCAATAGCTGGAAACAATTCCAGTAGCAGAAACGTGGATTAAAGTAAGACAGAAGTGTGGATTTTCCTCTCGAATACCTGCTCCACTTTTACCACCCAAGAGACTTCGCTCAAGTGCTGTCGAGAGCTCTGTCGACAATTCCTCACCTCCCCTGCCCTGCATAAATCAACATAAACGAAACTGATAACTGATAAAATACTAACATAGGTATGTCATAAGAAGAGCTTAACAGTACGACTTTTATGTTCGGAATAAGAAAGGTTATTGCCAAATATAAAAAATTGAGGAACTTTTTTTTTTCTTTTTCTTTTTACCCTCCCTAGGAGCTCCCACCCCTTTTGCTCCCTTGGTGACTCGAACTCGCAACCTTCGGGTTGGAAGTGAGGGGTGCTTACCATCCGAGCAACTCCAGGAACTTAGGTTGGTGTTTGAACCAAATTTTCTAACAAAACTATGAAACAGATAAACGAAAACTCAGAAGTAAAATGAATCCATGTACACACCTCAAATGATGGCTCTGCTGTGGGACTGCACTCTACGTAAATAAAAACCTTTCCTTGGTCAGGATGAGATAAAGTTGGTTTTCCAAGTTCCGCCTGCAATAAGAATTGAATAGGCCAAATTAGTACAACTTCCATGACAAAATTGCACAGCAATTATTAAAGAAAATCATGATAGCATCATTAAATCAAAAATAAAAGGTAGAAACGTGTTTCAACGCCTAGATCATTACAGTACCTTGACACTGGCAATAACATCAGTCGCCCCCAACTTGACTTTTGCAGATCCATTTGCCTTGTAAGAAGCAATAAAGTTTAATATTGAGCTTGAGTTGTAGCAAAAGAAACACTTGAGGGCGGAAATTTTACTATCTATATAACAGAACATAACACTACCTGAGGAATTACACCTGTTTCCACATAAATTGGCCGATAAGTTAGCCGTTTTCTACCATCATTGCGCAGATCCTGGGCAATACCACCCTTAATAAAGTTCCTTTCTCCAACAGATAGCCCTACCATCTCTGTAAGTGAATGAAATCATACATAATCACTCCTTATAACAGTTCATAATCTTGGCATAAGGATTGGAATAAATGATATGAAGTTTATGACTTTTATCCCTAGTAAGGAAACTCAAATATAATGGTAAATATTTTATGTTCATGCTCTCCCTTTTCCTATTCATATAAAGAAGTTTTGAAAAATAAATTACTTCCTCCATTCCAAAAAGAGCATTGGAGGTCAGTGTACTCTGACAAGGCACCTAATTTTTTTTGCGTGAATTCAAATATAAAATTTACATACTTAGAAGCTATAAGAGAAGTTCTTCCTCTCCAAATTTGTTTGGCAATAACTTAAGAAAAAAGGAAGAACTTTTGACATATATACATTAACAAATTCTCATTTTTAGAGTAAGAGAAGGAAACCGAAAATAATCAAGTAACAACAAACCCAATGTAATAATTGTAATTTCACAAGTCAGGTCTGGGGAGGATATTGTGTACGCAGACCTTACCTCTACATTCAGAAGGTAGAGAGGTTGTTTGCGCTTTTCAATTGAATATCTAGAGAAACTTAAGCAAATAAATTACTCTGAGAAAATGAAAAATAGTTAAAACTGAGCTTTCACTTAAATCCAGCACCATCAAACAAAACTCGGAAGAAACTAAAAATATTAAAGAAGCCATCTCTTTTTAGCAGAAACTCACTAAACAGTTTTCTAGCTTGGTAGGGTTTTGGGGTTTACAAATTCGCTTTTGGCGACTGGAAAAGATGGAGACAGCTATTATTTACAAGTTTGATTTGAGCTGCCAGAAAATATGGAGAGCAAAGCGTTTTACAGTAGCCGGAGAATCGTGAACTTTCGCCGGAGAAGAAACGGTAATTTGAAGAATAATCTTATTTTGGGTTCTCAATTAATGGCTCGCAATTCGATAAAAAATAAAAAAGAGTGCCTTTGGGCCTACATTTTTTGAGACCCACTGGGTCGTGAATCTTCATTTGCACTTTTATTTTGACCCTACAACTACTTTTTCTCATGACATAAATTATAGGAAAAACTACCTAACAACACACTTACATCACTATCATATATACTATATTTATCTCTAGTTCAAAATAATTACACATATTATCATTTTAAATATTTATACCATATATTTCAAAAGATTTATTAAGATACACAAATCTCTTAAATATAGTATTGAATAATTATCTTAAATTTAAACTCCTTAATTAATGCTCATTAACAAATTAATTTTTTTTTATTCCCATCTGTCGCCGATCGTTCCCCACCCCCATGTCCAGCAGCCCACTTTCTTTCTTCTTCTTCTCCTTCTTTAATTTATATCTTCATTCATTCAATACATATTTGCATGTTCAAAGCAGTATTTTACATATAGATTTGTTTTTATTGTTTTATTATTCTCATGTATCTTGATTTAGTATCTGAGTTAAAATTCATAATGTTCTTAAGTTCAATTTAAAAAAGTTTTACAAATTAGGTTTTATATTTTTTGATTTTGTTGTTTCTCAAACACTTTAATGGCTGACCATTCTCAAAATCGGACGATTCTGGTTAAAGGTACTACACATCAACAATATTATACTAAATCATACAACTTTTATTTGTTTATTTTTACTCATTATTTCTCATTGCAGGGACTGACTCTTCATCTATCAACATTCAAGCCGAGAAAATATCTAAGTATAGGAACAACCCAATCAAGATGGAAGAATTATACCAAGTTTTAAGTAACAGAACAAATACACCATTAGAAATACAACAATGTTGGATGCAAATCATGAGTACATGTATCTAGTTAAGAGTTCTTAAGATTATATGTATCTATGAGGAAAAAATTTAGATGCTAAATAGAATGGATCAAGTACCTATCCTCATACATACAAATTAACTTGGCTTGACATGAAGGACACAATACACGGATACAACAAGACATTTGTGCTTTTGGACACCTTTTTTTGATTCAATGTTCCAAGAAGTTCTGGAAACCTCTCTCGTTTTGTAAATTTCTGTTTACCAATAGATGGTAGACAACAAACAGGATTCAGCATTATTCTTGTTTCTCGCTTGAGAAATGAATATGATATATTACAGTTTATTGTCAACCTTCCACTACTGAAGTGCACAGCTGGAAGACAAATAGATTGGACTCTGTAAGGGTAGGTTTCACGAGTAAAATAATAGATTTGCAGCGTTCAATATTTATTTGATTGCTTTGACCACTGCACTAATATCAACTTAAGTTGCAATTGTCATTGCTTATCTTCTTATCAATCAACTTATAAATAAAAAATCAGAGACATACCGAAATAACGAGAATAAAAAGAACTATTGAAAACAATTGATAGTAGAAGAAGAAAATGAAAAAAAGGCATGAAGCAGAAGAAGCAGAGAAGAGAAGGGCCACACATCAAAAGAA